TGAGCGAAAATTTCCCCTAGAGGAGGCATTTTATTTGGATGTGACAGGAAAGAAGGGCTTTTTTTGGGTGGCTGTTATTTATCTCTTTATTTATTTTAGTAACATCATTATATTAGGGGCTCTTATAGCTCTTATAACAATCCATACATCAATTGTATCAAGTATATTTGTACATATGTTGTCATCATTATTTTCTAAACATTTACCTTCTATTTGAACCTTTGCTATTAGTTCCTCTTTTGTCCCTCCATTCTCCCCACCCATCCTAATGGCCCCTTGATAAATTATACATTATCACTATTTTCATATCTTACACCAACCTTTATCTCCTTTTCCCCAGTTTCTGTTCTTTATCCCCCTGAAAGTGGTGGGGTTGGTAGTGGTGGTTATGTGTCAATCATAGCAATTGGTCCCCCCCCCTTTGCCCTAACTTCCTGGTATTGATACTCCCATTCCTGTTCCTGCATTATGTGTGTCCTGAGCTCTTATCTCTTATGTGTACATGCTCGGTCTAGCACACAGTGAAGGGCAGGTCTAGGGTCATGCTAGTGGGAGGTGAGGAACTCTCAAGGAATCAGAGAAATATTGTGTTTCATCGGTGCTATATTGTGCCCTGGTTGACTCACCCCTTCCTTGTGACCCTTCTGTAAGGGGATGTCCCATTGTCTACAGGTGGGTTTGGGGTCTCTGCTCTGACCCATCTTGTTCTCAACAATATGGTTTTGTTTGTTTGTTTTGGGTCTTCAGATGCCTGTTACCCAATCCTGTCAACACCTCATGATCGCACAGGCTGGTGTGCTTTTTCCGTGTGGGATTATTGCTTCCCTGCTAGATGGCCATTTGTTTAACCTCAAGCATTTAAGATCCCAGATGCTATATCTTTTGATAGCCGGGCACCATCAGCTTTCTTCACCACATTTGCTTATGCAACCATTTGTCTTCAGTGATTTTGTTGGGAAGGTGAGCATCAGAGAATGCCAGATTATTAGAACAAAGTGTTCTTGTGTTGATGGAGTACTTGAGCAGAGGCCCAAAGTTCATCCACTATCTCAGTGTATTGCCATATTTATACCTATGCCAATACCTCTATTTTTATGAATTAATGTATTTACATAAGTGCACACATGTTTTTACCTGTATCCATAGCTTTGCTTCCTAGATCTTTCCTCTGTTTCCTTTACCTTCCTCCCGCCCCATCATCCATGCTTGCTTTTCTTCTGCCTCTTAGTAATTCCTTTCACCTAGATTGCTATTGCTCCAACACCCCCAGGATCTCTATATCCTCCTTGTTGTTTTAATTCCCTAGCTGTTCCACTGTCTATGGCGTTGTTTACTTAGCACTCTCACCCCTACCACCTCCTCCTCCCAAGTCCCTCTGGAACCTTCAGGCCTGTTGCTTTCTCCTACATTACATGGAGTTAGTCAGATCTGCATCCCCCACAGCAGGGCGAACGAAGAAGGGAACATAACAGATCAGCAATGGGAGCAAAGCCAAGGCACAAAGTCCTTAAGAAGCCCCCAAAATAGACTTAAGGCTAAGAGGGGCAGATCCAGGAATTGGAACTGGAACAGTTCTGTGGGGATATAGTCATAAAGGTCAGCGGACAAACCTGGAATTATGTATGGGTTTTTTGGTTATATTTGCCTAGTAATTATGTTTTCTTTTTCTTTTTAAATTCAATCTTTTGTCTCTGTTATTGCTGGTTTTGCCTGCCTATGTAAGATAGGCATGGACTGTGTGATCATGAGGTTTTGATGGGATCAGGTATCAGGCATCAAAGACCCAGAGCAAAAAATCATAATGTGAATGAGGGGGGAAGTACGGAGTGGAGGCCCAATGCCAATCTGTAAGCAACTGGACATCCCCTTACAGAAGGGTCGTGGGGAGAAGACGGGCTAGTCAGGATGCAGTAAAGCACTGATGAAACATACAGATTTCCTCTGGTTCTTTAATGCTTTACCACCACCACCACCACCACCACCACCACTATCATAACCCTAATTCTACTTTACAAATCTGACTAGACCAGAGCATGTACATGGGTACAGATTAAGAGCTGGAAACACAGGGAATATAAGATAAACTCCTCAGGACCAATATTGAGAGTAGTCATACTAGGAGGGTAAGGGTAAGGTGGGGAGAGAAAGGGGGAACCAATCGCAATGACCTACCTATAACCCCCCAGGGGGGTAGACAACAGACAAGGGGGTAAAGGGAGACATTAGACAGTTCATGACATGAAAAAATAATAATTTATAAATTATCAAGGGTTCAGGAGGGAGGGAGGGGGAAAACGAGGAGCTGATATCAAGGGCTCAAGTAGAAAGAAAATGCTTTGAAAATGATGATGGCAGCATATGTACAAATGTGCTTGACTCAACGGAAGCATGTGTGGATTGTGATGAGTTCTATGAGCCCCCAATCAAATGATTTAAAAGAATAGTCATGGGAAGCAAGCTGGAGTAGGAAGGGGTCTTTTGAGTCAAGGACTAACTCCCTCCCTCCCAGTCATTCTCTTTGTTCCAAAACATTGTCTTTCATTTCAAGCCTAGAACCGCCTAATCCTCCTTAAGGCTAGCCTAATTGAAATGTCCTTTGCATGGAGTGGGCACTGGCTCTCCCAAGCTCGGGAAATGACAGGCCAGTCGCTTCTGGGCACATACATGCGAGACGATGGTCTTTCGCAGGAAACCTTGCAGAGCCGCAGGAGCTTGTCCCGGGTTGTTCAGTCTCTGGTTTCCCGGGGCCCAACATGAACGGCCAACAGCAGATTCTCATTCCAGACTTCAGCTTCGGAAAATCAGCATCAGGGCTGCTACCAACTGACTTTAAAGTTGCCTCCCAGGGGCCCAAACTGCCTCACTCTGGCGGGTACACGTGGCTTCATTTAAAAGGATGCCCCTTCCACACCCGTTTAAGCCTTCTTTGAAACTTGTCTTCAGGTAGCTCATCACAGGGTCAGCGGTTTGAAACTAGCATCTGCTCTGTGGGACAAAGAGGTGGCTGTCTGCTCCACTGAAGGTTTAGAGACTCAGAAATCCAGTCCCAGGGACCTGTCTACTCTGTCCTACAGTTACCAGGATTCAAAACTGACCCTAAATGCAAAAAACCACAGCCAGCTGAGGTGCTTGCTGAGGGCAAAGGTAATACAGAATGGGTAGTAGTAAAAGGTAGTTCTACCTATCAGTTACGACCATGTCATCAATTGCAAAAGCGAGGTTTGTAATTGCCAATGATGTATTTTTTGTGTTTATTGCATATCTTTCGTTCATTCAGGTATGATATATCAGATACAATTGAACTGTGTTTACATTCATATGTATGATAGATGATTGATAAGTGTGTGATTTAATCAATGTCCGTAAATTATATAAGTATATATGGTTAAAGAATTGTGTACAGGTGCCAGGTTAGCAAGGGGTGGATTGAGATAGTTTATTGTGCCAGCCTGGCCGATAAACACAAGTGGGATTAACTGAAGGGTGGCGAGGTAAATGGCTCGGTGAGCCTTGCCTTTCTTGTTTCTTGCTCATCGGACCAGTGTGCGGCTGCCTTGCTTGTTCTGTGCCTCAATTTAAAGGCTACACTACCTGTGTGATGCCTAGCCTATGGACTGTGTCGCTGTAAATTGAGGTCCCTTTAAGACATCTCTGGAGCTGGGGACTGACACTTGGGGCTGGTGGTTGGTTGACAGTTGGTGAGATGCCTTGTGGTGGCTGCTGTGCTGAGATATCCTAGCTCTCTCTATAGAGGAAGATCTGGCAGCAGACTAGACTTGAAGGACATCTAGGCTCTCACAACTCTCTCATGGGAGTGAGTTGCACTGAGCCATTTGTACTGCTTTATAACTTAACTGTTAATTTCTTGTATTATATATCTATCTGTATATAATTTAACAGTTCATTTCTTGTTATATATCTAATTATCTTTATAAATAAATATAGAAAATTATCAGCAACCTGGTTTTATCTCTCTAGAGAACCCTAACACATTTTTAACAGTTCTTTTTGTATTTTTAGGTTTCTGTACATGGCATTGTGTCTGGAGCCCTTGTAGAACAGTGCTTTACTCTTTTGGTTTATTACCTCAAAGTCAGCAGTACAAACCCACCAGTGCTCAGCAGTTGCACCTGTCGTCCATAGCTCTCACACCTCCCTAATGCCCACATAGGGTCACATGACAGCTAGAGGGGACTTC